CTAAATTTCATTTATAAAATCATTGCCTACTAATTCAATATTTTTTTTAATCAATAAGTGCTTTTATTTTTTTAAAAAAACCAATAGTAAGCCTTACCCTCCCTGTTTTGATTTGTCTGTTTGTTGAAACCTCTGAAGCAAGGACCGGGCCATCCCTAGATACTGATGCATGTTCACATTTATCCGTGGGATGGCCTGGGCCAGCGTCCACGTGATATGAGCACCATCATCCTGTTGGCTCTCAACTGCAGTGAGCTTACTTCTTGTAGTCACTGTTCTCACTTAATCCTCACAGCTACCCAGTGAAGTGTATACTGTTGATGCCCCAGTTTACAGATGAGAAGACTGAGGCATTGGCAGATGCAGCGACTTGCCCAGTGACTCAACAGTAGGTGATAGAACTGGGGTTTGAACCCTGGCCATCTGTCTCCCAGCGTCTCCGCCGGCTTTCCACCATCATCAACTTTTGGCGAGCCATTCGGCAATTCTCACTGCTCTCACCTACAAAAGGGAGAGAAAAACAGATCAGATCATCTAGACACGTCCTTCCTGCTCGATAATCCTCAATCCTGAATACCTGCCCGTTGAACCTTTTAGAGGAAAAATGTACTAATATTTAATACTGTACCGTTGCCTTTAATACATGGACACCCTTACACAAGGAGTCATAAATTCCCAAATACATCCAATTCTTGTCATTTATCGTGTAACACATCAAGGAACAGTTTATTTTTTATTTGTTGTTTGCCCATTTCTCCCTGCAAAAGGTGAGTCTTTTAAAGAAGTTTAGGATGATGGCAAGCCAGTGCCTTTGTGTGGAGGTTGCAAATGTGGGCTCTGGTGACAGAATGCAGGGTTCCTGGCCCTGGTTCTGCCAGTTCTTAACACCACTGTTCTTTCATTATCTGGGAGATAGGGATGGTGATAGCACATGTGTTGTTTTTGATTCAGACAGACAACAGCAGCAACAGTGTCTAACTATGTATTCGTATAGTAACAGCTGTTAACTAGACTTACTGTGGTGATCTTATAGCAAGATACATAAATGTCACCCAATAGCCACTGTTTACTAAGCCTATACTATGTGCGAGGCACCTTACCACACACTTGACACACGTAATCTAATTTGATGCTTGCAAACCTTATATGGTCATCTGTTTTACAGATAAGGAAACAGATTCAGGAAGTTTAATTGTCTAAGATTCTATAGCATGCTAGGGGGCATCAGCTTTGGTCTTCGAAAGCAGGCCTGCCTGACCTGTAACCATTTCACTCTCCTACCATCTCATTCCTACTTCTTCCATGGCATCCAATAATTTTGAACACGTGTTATCTTACGCTAACATCTGTGAGCCTGCGTTCCCATATCAGTAATTTCACGTGCCTGGTAAGAGCAGAAAGCCTGAAAACAGTGACTTAAACAAATCGTATGCAAAGAATTCCTTAGGAGAGCAATTCAGGGTGGGTATGGTGACTCTACAGTGTCATCAGGAGCTCCTTTTAACTCTCTACTCTAGGGGGTAGTCCTCATTTTTATTCTGACAAAATGACTGCAAAAGGGCTGTCCTCACTTCTGTGTCGCACACATGAAGTTGAACTGCGAAGGCAGAGGCAAAAGGGACGAGCCAAGGAAGTCTTCCTCCTTTTTAAAGGTCTTTCCCAGAAACTCTGCCCAGCAATTTCCATTTATCTATCACTGGTTGGGATTGGGTCATAATGACCACTCTTAGTTACAAGAGAGGCTGGGAAATGTAGTTTTTTAGGTGGGTACATTGTTGCAATGAACAAAATTGGGGTTCTAGTAACACAGAACCCAACCTATTAGTTTCTTGAAATAAGTCAAATAAATTCATTTGGTGTTACTCGTCCCCAGTGACTGACTATCTGGGGGAAACTCGGTGTGTTGAGAAGCTGAGAATATCTTAAGGGGGACAAAGGAGTTGGTTCAGTAGAAACTGGAGCCAAGGAGACTGTTTCTTGGGTACTTGGGAGAGTTCTCAAGGCAGCAGCTTGGCCTGAGCCAGGGAAAGGTGAGGTAACATCCTGAAGAGGCTTGTAACTCTGGTGATTAGAACCTAACCCCACTTGAATCACAACTGGTGGGGAGAAAGCTCCAAATATACTCTAAGCATTAACAGTGAAAGGTGTGCCACTTGTAAGATTTTATTTCATAAATACCTTCGATGGGTGGAAAAGCAATTCCTTCAGATTTGGGTTGGGAGGAGGGGGTTAATTGCCAAACAGAATGAGGAAGTGAGTGCAACAGAATAACCATGCGCTTTGGAGCCAGGCTGACCTGAGTTTGAATCCCAGCTCTGCCACTCGGAAGCCACGTGACCTTGGATAAATCAGCTAACCTTTCTAATTCTTCTATTTCTAATTTAAAAAGAAGTAAGTTGATGCTATCTTCCCCGTGTGCTGGGTGTAATAACTAATGATAGCGCAGATCCAGGGTCTGACATGTGGCTGGCAGCAGTGGCGTAGCCATTGCAGCGCTGTCACGTGGCCAGGGGTCGCCCGTCGGCAGGCGCTGGCTGTGCACTTACTGAGCCCCATCGGAGTGCAGGTCAAGGTCCTGGTTTCCGTTGAAGGAGTCCTGTAAGATCAAGGAGGGTGAGAGGGGAAATACGTTTTCAAAGCAGCAATCAGAAGGAAAGGCCCTGGGCTGCTGGTGGCAGCTATGGAGGACGCCGGCTGCCGGATCAACTAATCTACAGGTTTCAAACGCTCATTTGGGGCCACCTTATAAAAGCTCATAACAGGAAGTTTAACTTCTTCAAGAGTCACTTTCCTCGCGTATACATTGGGGATAAGCATAATGCCTACCTCCGGGTTTGTTGGGAGAGTGACGCTCGTAGAGCCCATTCTAAGCAGCCGACAAGTGTTTCCTATTATAAGTGCTTACCCTCCCTGCTCACCCAAGCAGGAGCAGGGCTTGTTGGCCTCGGCTTTGTCTGGCTATCTCAGCTCCAGTAATCCCATCAAAACTTGAACTAGGACATGAAGTACAAGTATAATCACACTAGGCCCCCCAAAAAGATACTGTAATAATGTGATTAATGATGAGTTGTTGGATGGCAGTCGTGGTTTAAAGTCCTTCTGTGGACTTGTGAGCTTCATTGACTTCAGTGCTTACGCGAGCTCACGCCCAGAGCAGCAGGGCACACCCCGCCTTCCTGAAATAGCTTTGCATCTCAGGTCAGAGTTTGACTTCCGCCACCTTCCTGCTGGTCACGCAGGCTGGGGATGGGGTGACATATGCTCTTGCCTCTAATTTCTGAGATGTGCACAGGCTTGACCAGGAATTGGGGGGAAACCAAAGAATAACCAGAAACGATACGCTGGCGCCACATTCGTTTCCATCCTCCACCTCGCTCCGTATCCGCTTTGGCCCTTCCAGAGTCCTTTCCTCAGAATCATGTCATTTGATTCCCTCCGAGACCTTAGCTGAAAACGCGATGAGAGTCATTTCCGTTTTCAGTTAGGAAAACCAAGGATCGGAAAGGTGAAGTGACTTGCTCCTGATTGGCATGGGCTGGACTAGAACCCAGGTCTTAGGCCCCCAGATGCACACCCTTCCTCCCTGACTGCCCTCGGCTGCTAGCCTATGCCTTTACCTAGTCTGGAAGAAAACAGCAGCCACCTATTTTCATATCGGGCTGCACCCATCCGGAGCAGAGAACTAAATAAACACGCACCCCTTTGTTGTGGTTTTACATTGTTTCAGGGGTCATGAATTCACTGTATTTATAAAGGATGAATACAGGAGAGGTTTGTGCATAACAGCGGCGGCCCTGCCAGAGAGGAGCATGTCCCCTTGGGTTTGATCAGGGTTCATTAGCCTGCACCAGAGGGCTCCCCATCAGCGGAATCGAGGTTCAGCTGCACGCAGGCACCAGGACTTCCCCCAAGTAGGAAAGTCACTGCTGTAACCCAATCCTACCCTGTGCCTCTCCTCCGCCCCTCCCCACCCCACCCCCCGCCCTACCCCCAGGCTTCTGGATTTGAAATTCTACCATTTGGGGAATTTGTCTTTAAAGAGATTCCAATTAAAATCGGAATTCTTTCATTATACGTAACAGCTTATATTAAAAAAAAAAACAACCAGGGCAGTGTTTTTTTTTGGGGGGGGCTCCCAAAGCCTAGTCCCTCAGGCTCCAGTGTCTTTGTCCAGGCCATGAACAGTGAGAGGCGTTGTGAAGATCAAATGAGATGTATGTAAACGGGCTGTGGAAGTATAAGCTTGACAGAGAGCGGAGAGCAAGGGAGGGGCTGGGCGCTGGTCTGCGAAGCAGGAGAGCTGATGGCCACACCTGGAGCTCAGAGCACTGGGTCTGACCCGAGGAAGCTCTGCAACAGGGGCTCGAAGGCGTCCCGATGGCCTCGTGATGCGGTGCAGGGCTGGACCAGTTGTGGCCTTGGAAGCCATTTGGATTGCTTCAACTTCCAGCCACCTGTGCCTGGGAATGCAAAATAATGATGATTAAGGAGCTCAACTGTCCCGTCCTCAGTGCCTTAAGACGGAAAAGAGCTCCCCTTGAGAAACAGTCAGGATGCTGCGTTCCAAGTTGCAGTTCATTGTGCATTCCGGAAATCTCATTCCCTGCCGGTTATTCTGTTGAGAAAGGGAATATTAAGGGTGACGGAGGTGCTGCGACGGAGGGGGCAGTTTGCATACTTTATAAGGTGGGGCAGGCCGGTACAGAGCTCCTATTCCACACCAGGGCTCCTGGAACACAGCGATAAGAGTCATGTCGTGGGGTGGGTTAGTGCTGACTTCTTTCAGTCAAAACGTGTGTCTAAAGGTAGGCGTGACCATCTGACCTTAAACTTGGATGTTGTACAGGGACCATCCTTAGGTCGCCTTTTCAGAGTGCCTGTTTCCCTCCGTGGCTTGAGCCGAGCACGCCTCCCGTCACCTCTCTGGAGCACCCACGTGTGCCTTTCCTGCCATTTCACTTTTCAAACTTCCTCCCTTCTTTTCCTTCTCTCTCCTCCAGCTAGTGAGACCTGCAATGACTTCCACCCGCTGTTCTTCACCCACGACAGGTCCTTCGAGGAGTTCTTCTGCATCTGTACCCAGCTCCTGAACAAGACCTGGAAGGAGATGAGGGCAACCTCTGAAGACTTCAACAAGGTAATTGGAAGCTGAGGTAGCAGCGTCTTGTGTCCCCGAGCAGCCCCNACTGGTTAGACTGAATATTTCTCTTGTTGCATAAGAATTGTCCAAATTTGAATTCAGAAATACCGTACAAGAGCCCAACCGCAGGCATAATTTCTTTTGAGCTTTCTTGGGCGTCGTCTCCGCTTTGCACGGCCCCTGAGCTGTGTGTGAAAGGCCGTTGGCAGGTCAGGAGAATGAGAATGGCCGTGGTTTTAGGTTGCTTTAAAAACGGAGAAAGATGTGAACGTACGTACGTGTTGGTGATGCCGTCACGTCTCTAGAGTACGCTTGGAGTGGCTTTGCTCCTTTGGCTTACTAAGCTGGGGCCACCAGCAGAGACTTTTGTTGTGAAAAATAATGTCTAGCTGAATTTTTCCTTCAATGGCTTTGCTCTGAGATGCCTTGTTATTGCTAGATCTGTTGGGGGAAATGCCTTCCTCTACCTGGGCAGGGGCTGCCACAGAGAGGAGGAGCTCGGGAAGGCTGCTCGGTCTAGGTCACTTGGTTTCTTTGTGGATTATGGATGTGTTGAGATAATTTGCCCTTTGCTGTGTCAAAAAGAGTTTTTATTACAATGCAAGATCTCTTTCAGGGAGTTGAATAAGTTTATGTGGAACATTTTTTGGTTTACAGAATGCATTTGATTCTTTGAACGGAGGTGTCCTTTGATTTTTAATAAGAACGTGAATTGCATGTTTCTGTTTGTGAGTGAATGTGGAGTAAAGAGTGTTGACCAACTTAGAGGAATCAGAAGCATCGTGTACATTTTTAAGGTAAACAAAATCTTTATCCTTACTTAGATAAAGGCTTTATTAATAATAACATGGCTAATAGTCAGGACAGGTATATATATTTCAGCCTTTAACACTTCAAATTTGCTACTGTACATGGCTCTGGGTATGGTTGGCCCCATCACCCAGGCCCATTGACCAGAACCTAGAGATGTGATGCTTCTAAGAGACTAAAGGTCTGATCTCATGGTCAACCTGTGGGGCCGTCATGGGTTTGTGCTTGGGGCATAGCATCATATCTAAAGTCCAACTCAACTTGATACTCGTGTTGGTCTTTGCTTTCCTGTCACCTTTCCTCTACATTCACATCTCATCCTTTCCACCATATTTCTGCTTTGTGGCATCTTGAACTGATATTTGAGGGGAGAGGGTGAGGCAGAAGAGGGTAAAGGGGGTCAAGTGTATGGTAACCGAAGGAGACTTGGCTTTGGGTGGCAAACACACAATGTGATATATAGGTGATGTATTATAGAATTGTATACTTGAAACCTATATAATTTTATTCAGTCTCACCCCAATAAATTTAATTAAAAAAAGAAAAAAAAAAGAGCAAGAATAGGAGATGACACTCTTGCCCACACCTCACTGAGGTGCTAACCTATCTGTGTCCATCAGCTGACCGGAAAGCTGCACTCTAGGATCTGAGCAGCCATGCCCAAGGACAGGCATGGTTCAGGGAGCCAAGTGGAGGAAAGAAGCCCATTAATTATAACTGCACCCTCCTAAGTGTACTTCACTTGATTATGAGAGACTTTGTAATTAGGGTACAAATCATCCCTGGGAGAGAGACAGAGAAAGAGGCATGCAGACCTTTGTTCAATCAAGCTAAAAAAAAGGTAGAGTTAAGTCAACAATCTTTGAAATTGCTACAGCCACTTTGCCCCTGGATCAGTTCAACCCTGCATGTACTGCAGTGTTGCTGAAAACCATGTAATTGTTAGCTTTTCTGTGTCAGGGACACATATTCCTCCAGTAGGAGACCTCACTGGCTGTTATGCTCTGGCACCACGTATCCACCTGCTTTCTGAGAGGAGTCATTAGCTTCTCCTGAATTACAGAAATCTGAATTTTGTAAATGATAACAATGTAAATATTATTGTTGTTGGTCTATGCACAGATAAGGTGTAGGGAAAACAGTACTGAATTCCTGCAGAGGAATGGCTCAGGGGGATGGGCACTTAGACACTTACATGCTGTAGAACTTACAGTTGATGACATGAAGCCACCAAGAATACACTGTTAGCAAAGGAAACCATGGGTGTCAGCCTGGAGGTGGTGAGCAGGGCTGGAGGAGGGAGCTGAGCAAGGTTCTTGGGTCCCTGTGGTTCATCGTTGGCCATGTGCTCGGGCTGGTGGCAACGATAGCCTGTCTGCATAGGGTAAGGTGACAGCAAGCCCCCCAAGTGTCACTCTCCAACTCTTTGCATAATTAACTTACATGGCTGCAAAACACCTGTCTTCAGCAAGTTCTCAGGGACAGGTTTCAGGTAGTTTCATACTGTGGCCCTGGTGCCATCTTTTTACATTGTACAATCATAGACTTGTGTCTGTTGTCACACATCTGCTGCCATCTAGATTTGGCAGTTTATAGCTGTGGGCAGGCAGTTGGAGGCCTGGGAGGCAGAGGGTCCCACTCCATGTGTCTATCCGTCAAGAGTGGATGTCAGAGGAGAATCAGGGATGGGAAACACCAGAGGTTTACATTTGTACATCAAATATTTTACTTGGTTTGCTTTTTCTTGTTAGTACTATGCATGCCTTACTTTGTAGCCAGAAAAGTCTGTCAGTTATATACTTTTTATCACATGTGTATTAGATTCATAATACTGCTGTTAACAAACTACCACAAACTTTGTGGCTTAAACAATGCAAATGTACCTTATAGTCTCAGAGTTCAGAAGCCCAAACCGGGTCTCCCTGGGCTAAGATCAAGGTGTCAGCAGAGCTGTGTTCCTTTCTGGGGGCTCCAAAGGAGGATCCACTTCCTTACCTTTTCCAGGTTCTAGAAGCTGCCTGCATTCCTTGGCCATGGCCACTTTGTCCATCTTAAAGCCAGCAGCTGCAGGTTCATTCCTTCCCACCTCTTGTCGCGTCACTCGGATCCTCCCTGCTTCAATCTGTCACGTTTAAGCACCCCCGTGATGACATTACCACCCCCCCCAATAATCCCGAATTGTCTTCCCTATTTTAAGGTCAGTGGATTAACAGCCTCAATTCCACCTGCAACCCAAATTCTCCTTTGCCATATAAGGTGCCATACTCACAGACGGTGGGGATTAGAACACGGGCGACAGTGGAGGGGTCACTGTTTCGCCTACCATACTGTGTATTTAATCTGTAGGCATATTTGATGCAGAGGTGTGTGTATCAGTTTAAGTTCATGAGACGTGGGCAGATGAGCTTTTCTGGTGGTGGTTCTTCTGGCTGGTGGACCAGCATAACCCAGTCAGAGCCTCCTGCTAATGGCTGCTCAAACACAGATATAATCATGGCCCTTGCCTTTTATGTCCCTGTTCTGCCTCCACTGACCTTTTAAAAAGAGACGGACCTCTGTGAGGACCTCTGGTTCAGTGTAAATCATGTCTTTCTGATATTTTCCTGCTGCCTATCAGCCACCGCTCTGCTTTGCCAGATAATAAAGTAGAAAACACAGAGCTGAAATGTTAATTAGCTCGCTTTCCTTTTCTTTTTTTTTATTGACTTGGTAGCAAAAGGGATTGAATTCAGGATCAAAGGCAGGGCTGGTGTTGTTACTGGTTAGACTGAATATTTCTCTTGTTGCATAAGAATTGTCCAAATTTGAATTCAGAAATACCGTACAAGAGCCCAACCGCAGGCATAATTTCTTTTGAGCTTTCTTGGGCGTCGTCTCCGGCTCTGGCCACTCTGAATGGAAGCATGGGTGGCGGATTTCATTGTTGACCTGAGACCCGGGGTCGGCCTGGGCTAGCTCATTACCGGAGAAACGGTATCTCTCAATCCAACATTCAATTTTCCCAACAGACAATACTAGATTGCAGCTGACGCGGGCGTCTCTTTGGCAGCTCACCTTCACTGAAACGGGCCTGTTTGGGGCTGTGCGGCTGCTCCCGGGGAGCGTCTGGGAAAGCGGCTCTCTTCCCGCTCCTCCGGACATGGGCAGCGGCAGATGGGATGGTTTCTATTTATAGAACAGAAATAGAATTAGAGAGCGATTAAGCCTTTATGCTGTGACGCGTGCTTTCTTTCAGTTTCTCACTATAGCAGCCTCTGCAGAGTAATCCATTGATTCAGGCCGTTGAGTTTGTATTCCACGGTTTCGCCTTTTATTACTTACTAGTACCTTAGCGCATGCGTTGTTTATTGCTTTGGGCGTTAGAAAAGAGCCGGACTGCAGCTGCACACCTCGGCCCCATAATCATTTCATCGAAGCCCTCGTTTTTTGAGCAGGGGAGGAAAGATGAGGCAAGTGAGGTGGACGTTTCAGGTTACGGGGACCCCGCTGCAAGCTTTTGTTGCTGACGGCTCCACTTTAAAAGTCTAACAAGCATATACAAGTCAAAGTCTCTCTGTGTGTGTAGCGTGTTTCTGAACCCTGCCTGTGCATGAGACTCACTAAGGGTGGGGTGGGAAGGGCTTTCGGAACCCCTCTTGTCCCGGTGCCCAGTGGCACCACATACCAATGAAATCTTTGGGTGGGGCCAAAGCTCTCAATGCAGGTTTTGATTAAGGCAGATTTGATCACTACAGGTGAATTGTGTCCATAGGGTTCCCACTAGCTGACACACATAAGACACATCACCAATGAGTATGAATGCATGCATTGAGGAGATAGTATGTCCATTGGTCTTAAGGTCCAGTTTCTAACCCTGGTTCTGCTTCTCAGGAGTTCTGTGCCTAGAAATAAAAATTAAAAAAAAAGGAGGTGAGGATACCAGGATCGCATGGCCCTCTTTTATGGTGGTGTGATATTATGTTGAAGAAATGTAAAAATGCTTTGAGAAAGTGAAATGAACTACACAGTTGTAAAGCATTCTTTTTATATGTAATAAAATAGATCCTGTCTATGAAAAATGAGTAAATTGTGCTTTTCAAAAGAAGACACTGTTTGGCCATGATGTTAAAAAAAGAAAAAGAAAAAAAGAAAGAAAGCAGAAAAAGTAAAGCTGTCTATGTACCCCAACTTAACTCCCGAACTGAATT